AGTGCATTATGGCTATTTAACACTTGCAGGTTTCCATAAATTTAACTAATTGTACACGTGTACAACTAAAGGTTTCCAACAGAGATCGACAACAAAACCAAGCGGTTTAAACGAAGAAGACTAGAAAAAAACAGCTTTGCACAAATAAACCTATCTTTTGCAGTCGACACATTTTACTTTTGAAAAAGTTTCTAAATTTGCTGAATAGCCAACAATTACTACTATAACAATGAAATATCCGGGATGTAATCTGCGCTTAGATAAATATGCAAAATATGCTAGATGTCGTTATGGCTCGTAGTTTTCTAGGTCAAAATACAAATAATTTCCAGTATCAGCAACACGTTGATATAAACTAGTTAAAACATAATACATTTTGAGGTTTAATTCCTGTAGAAACAGCCATGTAAAGTTTTGCAAACACCACGGTTTTTCTGTTTCACTTGTTGTCTTGTTAATGCTTTGTATTTGCCTTTGCAATAGACTCATTGAGATTCAAAAGCATTCAGTCTAGTTAGATACTACCTTTGTACTGTTTGTTGTCAGTTTATTGTACAACCTATTTTACTTAAATCAGGATTTTATTTATGACTGCATATAAACATGAAAACCCAAGTCGTGTTTATTGATTTGCAACCGTCAGACAAACTGCTGCAAATAATTAAAAAATAAGGATATTGTGTAGAATGCGCCATCACACTCATTAGACAAAGACTGCTTTCTACGAGTTTGAGCCAGCCATTGTAATGGTGTTCGTAAGATGCAGACTGATGCTGACAGTTTTGACATTGCGCGACATTTATCCACTCGGATTATCAGGATATCCTCGGTTTTAATTGCACAAGAAGACAAAAATGAATAAGAAATGCATTACCATAAAAACGTATAACAAAACCTCACACCTGAATTGCTCTTTATTTCGTCTGAAGCTTCCTTCTGTTTTGCATAGAAAAACTTTCGTGTATATTTAAATTGATAGTTGCAAAAACATTGAAAGGAGTCGTTCTAGATTTTGTTTTCATTTATGCTGAAACATTCATCTATAGTTTTCTTTAATATAACAAGCATGTTTCTACAGGTTATGGACGGGTTGCATGGTTCAATGTGTCTTTACAATGTATTCAGTGGTATCAAGTTTCAACTGTGGTCTAGACAGTTCAGCATACCACATGATGACATTGTCAGGACACTAAACATATTTTTAGCCCTTTTACGTTTTATGTATACCTGTGACCATTTGTTATTTAAGTGAATCATTTGACTACCTTCGGCTTAATGTTAACATTCCTCATACAGCTCAGGTTGAAATACGTTTACATCCATCTTTATTCTGTTCAAGGGAAACACTGATATTTTGGGTATAACCAGACCTTAAAGTCACAAAACTTTCTAAGTTCCCCACCCCGGGAATTTAATAATAATAATAATAATAATAATAATAATAATAATAATAATTATTATTATTATTATTATTATTATTATTATTATTATTATTATTATAGAATTTAAACAAGCTTTTATATGTGATGTGATTATGATTTTTTACGTTGCAGTGTGGCAGTTTATAGTGATGTATAGCATGTATACCACTGGGGCATCATGCCGTAGACATGTAGCATGGTGTCCCACTCAGTCACAGTATCCTGACACCAGGCCGACCAATCCTAAAACTAACCTCATAATGCTGAGCGCCAAAAGGGAAGCTGTTAGTACCATTTTTGTAAGTCTTTGGTATGACTCAACCAGGGATCGAACGCACGATGTATATATATATATATATATATATATATATATATATATATATATATATATATATATTCGTCTTCTTCAAACTGATGGTCAGTCCGAACTCTTTACAGGCGTGGGAGAGGCGACATATCAGCTTCAGCTGCTGAAGTCCTTCTTCGGTATGTGATGTTAAAGCTGCATCGTCGGCAAAGAGCAATTCACGGATGAGGACCTCTGTGACTTTGGTCTTTGCACGGAGACCTTTGATGTTGAACAGTTTGCCATTTGCCCTGGTGTGAATGTACACTCCCTCGCTGCAGTCCTTGAAGGCGTACTGGAAGAGCACGGAGAAGAAGAGGCCTCTGATGTTGCGCCGTTGAAGCACACGAATTCTTACATCAATTACCATTTCAAAAAATTGTTCTTTACCAAAACAAACACAAATATTCAGTTAAGTCTGGACTTTGACATCTGATTAGTCAATTTTAAGTTAGATTTTAATTTCATCCAATCAAAACGATAGATTCTAATTTAAGTTAAGACTTATTTTCTCTTACTGAAACTGAGGTCAAATACTTAAGATTAAAATTTAATCAAAATCAATATATTGGCCGCAATCCAAAAATGAATGCTTAACTGCAGATATTAGAATCGATGGATAACATGTGAGGGGTCAAAAGTTCAAGACTGTATCTGTCAATGGCTTTGTATTCGAACGTCATTGTCAAATTTTCAGCAATCGTCCTTATGAAATCGATATTCGAAAGAAATAGGATGTCATTATACAATCTACAGTAAATATGGATAGAAACAATTGCAGTTTTACCGTTTATAGCCGCTTATATATCGGATCCAACTTCAACCAACAAAAACTTTGCTATGCTGTCACACGATTTGCCGGCAGATTAGGGTCTATGCTGTTTGTTTTACTGGTTAGTCCTAACAAAGACCATAGTTTCAGTATAGACGGCTCGTATACATTTTGTTGAAAGATAATGCTCACCCACCTTTATTCATTTTGTATCTCTGGGAAGTGCAAGGTCTGAAATTTTGCGCCATCGACCCCAAATACGTATCGTATTCTCTTGTTTTGCAAAGCGTATTGCAAGAAACGCTTCTGCCTGTGATTGGACGCTACTTAAACTGTACTGTTTCATTACAATATTTTTATCTATGAATATTTAAATGTTCTTTTTTAGCCATTGTGTGTTCCCTCGTCACATTTACATATATTTGTCTTTACGTCATAGCAAGTATGGCAGCTAAAGAGTTGAAGGAGAATGAAGGAGCATGCATTACAACAGAATTCACACGTTTGATATATCTTATCGGATATTTTCACAAAATGTCAAGTTTTAAAGCTGATGTTAAACAAATAATTTTTCAGTTCTTTTAAGTATGAATACAATATAAAACGTACAATTTACAAAATCAAGTTAGAAAACAAATACTCTAATTAAGAAAATGTAGTTTATATATATATATATATATATATATATATATATATATATATATATATATATATATATATATATATATATATATATATATATATATATATATAAAGTCAACACCTCTGCCTTGAAGCTAGCACGAAGCTCTATATGAATGCCAAGCGGGAATTCAGAAACGCTCAACGAATAGTTGGGAACTCACTCTGAATAATTCCCCTATTGCAATTCAAGAAGCAGCTGAATGCGATTTACGCGATTTCAGGCATCTAATTAAAAAAACAGAGCCAAGCAAATATAGTTGTTGTGTTGAAATTTATTAATTTGGTAAGACATATTGTAACCTGTCCTATGTAGTTGGTGTTGTTGGCATATTATTTTGCTGAATTGTGCACACCGAAAAGATTATATTTGACAAAGACTCTTGTAGCTCAGTAGAAAAACACATTGCTCTAAGAGGCACGTAAAAAGTAAGAATCTTTATATGATGAAATCCCTGAGCAATAATTACCGGTATGCAGCGCACTAAGTACCATACAAGGATCGAAAACTTCTAATCATGATCATCCTCAAAACGAACACCTTATCCTCAATGGTCCTCAGTTAAATAAAACACACCTTATCCTCAATGGTGCTTAGTTAATAAAAACACCTTATCCTCAATGGTCCTCAGTTAGATAAAACACCTTATCCTCAGTGATTCTCAGTTAAATGAAACACACCTTATCCTCAATGATCCTCAGTTAAATAAAACATCTTATCCTCAATGGTCCTCAGTTAAATAAAACACCTTATCCTCAATGATCCTCAGTTAAATAAAACACCTTATCCTCAATGGTGCTCAGTTAATAAAACACCTTATCCTCAAGGGTCCTCAGTTAGATAAAACACCTTATCCTCATTGATCCTCAGCTAAATAAAACACACTTTATCCTCACTGATCCTCAGTTAAATAAAACTCACCTTATCCTCAATGGTCCTCAGTTAAATAAAACACCTTATCCTCAATGGTCCTTAGTTAAATAAAACACCTTATTCTCAATGATCCTCAGTTAAATAAAACATCATATCCTCAATGATCCTCAGTTAAATAAAACACCTTATCCTCAATGATCCTCAGTTAAATAAAACACGCCTTATCCTCAATGGTGCTCAGTTAATAAAAACACCTTATCCTCAAGGGTCCTCAGTTAGATAAAACACCTTATCCTCAATGATCCTCAGCTAAATAAAACACACTTTATCCTCACTGATCTTCAGTTAAATAAAACTCACCTTATCCTCAATAGTCCTCAGTTAAATAAAACACCTTATCCTCAATGGTCCTTAGTTAAATAAAACACCTTATCCTCAATGATCCTGAGTTAAATAAAACACCATATCCTCAATGATCCTCAGTTAAATAAAACACCTTATCCTCAATGATCCTCAGTTAAATAAACACGCCTTATCCTCAATGGTGCTCAGTTAATAAAAACACCTTATACTCAAGGGTCCTCAGTTAGATAAAACACCTTATCCTCAATAATCCTCAGCTAAATAAAACACTTTATCCTCAATGATCCTCAGTTTAATAAACTCACCTTATCCTCAATGGTCCTCAGTTAAATAAAACACCTTATCCTCAACGATCCTCAGTTAAATAAAACAATCTTAGAATTGTTAAACTCGATATTAATGTTACTGTACGAGAATATTCCAGGTACATGGAGAAAATGTCTTACGGTGCCCATCATAAAAGGGAATGGGGAAATGCAGCACTGATTCCGACAATTACCGACCAATAGTCTTCTTCCCAGTGCCGTACAAATTATTTGAGAAGGCTGCTGTGGCCTAAGTGGTTAGAGCGTCCGCCTCGTATGCGGAAGGTCACGGGTTCGAACCCGGGTCGAGTCGTACCAAAGATATATAAAAATGGTACCAACAGCTGCCTTGCTCGATGCTCATCATTAAAATGTTACCGTTAAGACTGGTTGGCCTGGTGCCATGATAATGTAACCGGTTGGGACATGATGATCACGTGTCTGCGTCATGATATCCCAGTGGCAGTGCACATAACTATAAACTGCCATACTGAACACATATTAGCGATGTGACTCAAATTGTTAAAATTACGTTAAAAACCCGCATACTCAAATATTTCGAGAAAATTATGCAAGCAATAATTACTTTTTTCTTGTTTGACGATTAAAATCCCATTACGTAATATACAGCATCAAGGCTTTCAAAAGAATCTAATAATTCAAGATGTCATTAAAAGTATACCTTAATGAGGTAGTCCTACCTACACTGACATTCTAGATACTTAAAAGAAACTGTTACCATCTGCCAGGCTGATCTACTCTTGAGGCAATGGTGAAATTCGGTGGATAATAAGAGAACAATATCGAATACATATCAAGTGTACAAAGTGCACACGTGGTTAAAAAAAACCCCAAACAAACAATAATAACAGCCAATCCCAACACAAAAAAACTAACCAATCTCATTGGCTCCATAACAAGCGAGGAGTTAGACAGGGAGGCATACTGTTCTCCCTTTTGTATCAGGTATTTATAGACGAAATGCTACAGCACCTAGTAAAAAACAAACTTAGGTGTAAAATCGGGAGTTTTAATTGCTGCTACCCTTCGCTTGCAGATGACCTTACAGACCTATCAAATACTCCATAGACCTTAGCTAAAATGCCAGATTATTTGCTACTTTTCTAATAAAAATTTAATTACAAACTACATTCTATTAAGTCAAATATTATGATTGTTGCCAAGAAAAATTTTCAATCATAATCTTTCCCTAACACATGGTGAAAAAACAACCCACAAAACTGAATGTTAATCACCTAGCATCACTATAGAATAGGCCACATTTTTCCATAAATCTCATCCACAATGTTTGCAAAAGCAAAACAAATTGCTTTTGCTCTTGCAAATGTTGTGATGTTTACCTTCAACTCAACAAAAACATTTTCCAGTTACTCACTTAACAATTGATTCCAACCTCACCATACAGCTATGAACTTTGGAACGAGCTTCAAAAAGTAGATCTAATGGAGCTCAAGTTGCAACACTTTATAGTAAAAGGAATTCATGGATTCCACGAAGAAACATATATAGATATGCATGAGTCAATGCTGGAGCTGATAAGAATCATTACTGAAATTGATCGGCGTAAACTTTTATTCCTAGATAAACTCTGCATCCTGTTCAACAACAGCATATCCGAAGCAAACATTTGGATTCTTGATACGTCTTCACGTGTATTTTGATAGCACCCAATCTGTACGATCTGGTTTCATTCCAAATATATAGAATTGACTTCAAAAGGACAAGCTTAAAGATCACTTAAACTTCACAAATTATTTTTCCCTAAGAAATATCACTTAAAGGAATTGGTCAACATGACTGATTGAAAATGAAGAGACTCGCGCCATGGAATCAATAGACATCACAATTTTTTCTCTAGATTTTAACAATTGCAAGCATAAATTCGACTTTCATATGTCCCGCTTTGCAAGAATAATTATGAACATAAATTAACCACGTTTATAACATCCATTATAGCAAGCCAGGTCATGATGTTCTTCACTGTAAAAAATGTGGTTAGCTATATACCGACCTCCATCAGCATCTGGTTGCATCATGTACGTTTACAAGATATATGATCAACGACTTTCTTATGCGCTTGAAAAGTTTGAACTTGAAGTACACATATATTATTCAATGTAAACAAGAGTCACAGTTAATAAAACTTGTGAGGAGTGACCTTAAAAGTACACTAGACAAAATACAACTCCACCAAATGTTAATCCCAGTTTTAAATCCTTGTATCACGAGTGTTGTATAGCCTTAAGACAAAACATTTGTTAAAAGCAGAACTTTCCAGATCAGCTACTACGAAATTTTGTACCGACAAGACCCCATTAAAAAAGCAAAGTGATTATCATTAATGAGTTAGTATTGTAATAAAAAACTTTTTCTTAATTTTTTTCTTGAATTTTTATAAATAGATGTTATATACAAAGGTTTTACTTTGGATGCTCCCATTTATTTCCTAACTACTGACACTCCATTCTTTCCTTCCTCATCTGTATTGGTGTTATGTGACTTATCGTATCCTTTTCCGTCTTGTTATCAATATTTGGAAAATGAACTCTCCTTATGGAGGAAATAAAGACTTAGTGATTGATTTAATGCACCATAATAATAAGAAATAATTTCAAATTGAATGTTTTACTTGTATAGTTTTAAAAGTAAATGCTTTGGTTTCTCATTTACAAGTTCAAACTATATATATATATATATATATATATATATATATATATATATATATATATATATATATATATATATATATATATATATATATATATATATATATATATTGGTTGGCTTCCGTTAGTCTCGAGAGACGATGGAAATGCGCCCATGAAAGGTGTCCTAGTTTGTAGCTGTGCAGCATCTTCTGTGACTATAAAGTCCCACACGGGAGTGGCAATCCTTGCTACAGTTACTACACTTGAAGCATGACTCAGGTTTTGGTTGGAACTGCATCCTCTTCCTCTGAGATCTTTTCTCATCAGCGAGCTGTCATAACTTTTCCTCACTGGCTTTCAGACCTGTGTACAAAGCATGTCGCCAGCTGGACTTGTCGAAGGCAAGCTCTTCCCAGGTGTTGACCTCTATTCCAAGAGCTTTCATATCCTGCTTGCAGACATCCTTGAAGCGAAGATGTGGCCGTCCTTTTGATCTTCTGCCTGAGGCAAGCTTAGAGTAGAGAAGGTCTTTGGGGATCCGTCCATCATCCATTCGATGCACATGGCCCAGCCATCTGATGCGACGTTGGCGGAGGAGTTTGACCATGCTGGGAATTTTGGCCTGTTGAAGCACCTCGTTGTTTGTCACACGATCGCTCCAGGTGATCCCAAGTATGCGACGGAGACAACGCATGTGAAAGGCGCTTAATCGTTTCTCCTGAGAGGCGTACAGGGTCCAAGTTTCGTTGGCGTACAGAAGAGTGCTAAGCACGCAGGCACGGTACACGGTGATCTTAGTGTTTAATGTCAGCTTGTTGTTGTTCCACACTCTCTTCGACAATCTAGAGAGAGTTGTTGACGCCTTTCCAATCCGCTGTTGAGCTCGGCATCGAGTGAGAGGTTGTTGGTGATGGTAGAGCCAAGGTAAGTGAACTCACTGACTACTTCTAGTTTGTAGTTGTTAATGGTTATGCTGGGAGGGTCTGCGTCCTGAGCCATCACGTTAGTTTTCTTTAGGCTGATGGTCAGCCTGAATTCATCACCTGCTTTAGCAAAGCGGTCCATCAGGCGTTTTAGTTCAGCTTCTGTGTGAGTGACTATAGCAGCATCATCTGCAAAGAGCATGTCCCTAATGGTTGCTTTCCTTACTTTGCTCATTGCCTTCAGTCGTGCCAGGTTGAACAGTCTGCCGTCTGAACGCGTGTGCAGGTCACTTCTGTGGACGCCCCAAAGGCGTACTTAAGCAGGACAGCGAAGAAAATGCCAAAGAGCGTGGGGGCAAGGACGATGAGCCATCGTATTGCAATGTGCCTTTCATGTCTTCATGGAAGGACAGGACCATGCTTAACAGCTTTGGAGGGCATCCAATCTTCGTCAGGATTTTGAAGAGTCCGTCTCTGTTGACCAGATCGAATGCTTTGGTGAGGTCTATAAAAGCCAGGAAGAGGGGTCTGTGTTGTTCCCTGCATTTCTCCTGCAGTTGCCTGATGGAGAAGATCATGTCGATTGTGGACCTCTCTGCGCGGAACCCACACTGAGACTCTGGATACACTCTGTCGGCAAGCGTCTGCAGTCTGTTCAGGATGACTCTAGCGAAGACTTTACCCACGATGCTGAGAAGTGATATGCCCCTGTAGTTGTTGCAGTCACTTCTGTCGCCCTTGTTCTTATACAGGGTTATGATGTTGGCGTCTCTCATGTCCTGAGGCACTGCACCTTCATCCCAGCACTGGCAGAGAAGATCATAAAGGTGTGTGAACAGCATTCTGCCGCCACATTTGATGACTTCTGCTGGGATGCCATCCTTTCCTGGGGCTTTACCTGTGGTCAGTTTCTCTAATGCTAGCTTTAGTTCTGTCTCAGTAGGTTTCTCATCCAGTTTGGTCAAACAAGGGAGGTTTTCAATGGCGTTGAGGGCATTGTTGAAGACGTTTTTCTCTCTGGAATACAGTTCGGAGTAGTACTCCACCCAGCGCTCCATCTGTTTGTTCTTGTCATGAATGATATCTCCTGCAGAAGACTTCAGTGGAGCTATCACTTTCTTCGTTGGACCCATTGCTTTCTTTATGCCATTATACATGTCTCTGATGCTTCCGTTGTCTACTACTGACTGGATGCTCTGATACACACACACACACACACACACATTATACAATGATAATGAGTCTCCCTAATGAGAAACAAACTGGGGTTCAGCACCAATTATCTTCACTGCACCTACAAACCTCTATTCCCTTTCTACTGAACACATATTATCAAAAGAGGTCGATACATTGTAGTGATTAATATAGGCATTACTGTGTAGTAGAAATCTCTTGCTTTATGATCCATTGGTTCTACTCCTTATAGTCATTCTACTCTATATAGTCACTCTGGATTACTGTGACAGAAATTAAGTCATTACAGACGCTACTATTTTAAGTTACAAAAAAACCCCACCAAATATATTGAAGTGCTGTCCCCGAATGCAATAGAAGAATGGGAGATAAACATAAAATTACGTGAAGGAATGTTATCTCTCCTGGAGGCTGTCTCAAAATATGTCCAATGCGCCATCCTGAATGTCATAACGGACGACTAATTAGTGTGTGAGCTACAGTTGTTCAAATATACTTGTCCCTGACAAGCAGCGAGAAAGGTATGC